AGGCAAAAGACTCGGCAACCACGTGGCTCCCACTGGTAGGAATCCTACAAGAACACTGAGTTATTCAGCCATAACACATATGCAGAGGACCTAGGTCAGACCTCTATAGCTCACTGATTTCTGAGAGCTCCCATGAGTTCTGGGCAATTGATTCTGTGGGCCATGTTCTCCTGGTGTTCCTGACCCCTCTGGTTCCTCCAGTCCTTTCTCCCTCTCCTCCACAGGTCTCCCTAGCTCCACCTAATGTTTGGCTGTGGAACTCTGCATCTGCTTCCATTGGTTTCTGGATGAAGTCTCTCTGGTCTCTTTGATGACGATTCTGCTAAGGTCCAGTCCCAGAACACTCCGCACTGGATCCAGAGCTGTAGGTCAAAGGTTTTGTGAAGGCTTAGTGTCCCAATCCCTCCACCGGAAGCCTTACTTGGTTTCGGAAAATGACCGGTTCAGGCTCGATATCCACCCCCCCCCCCTTACTAGGAGTAGATGCCATGGAGTTTCCCTTGTACTAGGTTTTCATGTCACCCCTGAAATGCTCCCCAATTCCAGTCGTTTCTTCCAGTATTTCCTCCCTTCCCTCCCCGCAACTTGATCCCTCCTGTTCCCAACCCCACCTGCCCTCAGTCCACCCATAAAATGTATTTTAATTTTATGTGGGTGTTGGAGATTTGATCTTAGATTCTCTTGTAGCAGGCACATTACTGACTGGGACATCTCTCCTGCCCCAGAAATAATTAACAGTTTTATGTCACATTACAGCTATTGTGGGTATCTTTAAATATATTAGCAGCCATTATACTGATGTTATCATGGTTATCAAAGCTGTATCAAGAATCTCGCTTTTACTATATTAACAAGCACTTACATAATGTTCTATTTTGTATATTTTGAAGTCTTCACTTCAGTACAATCGATTTTCTTTGTAACCCTGTGTGTTTTATTCTGTGTTATCTAAGAACACTGTTTTGAGAAGAGGTTCATAGGCTTCCCTATACTGTCATAAGGATGTGTGGCACAAAACAGAAAAAAAAAAAAAAAGGCCTTGAACCTGATCTAGATTTACCATTCCCAGCTATTACAAATGTGTGATACGAAAGTGTGTGAGAGTTTTAATGAATCTGATTTCCTCTGTGAGGAGAAGTTAACAAACCTGAGTATTGATGATATGAAATGAACTTGCCTACAGCTCCCTTGGGTATATTGATTTGAACCTAACTAGACTATACGTGCTTAAAGGGTGTGTACTTATAATCCAGGTGTGCTTTATCTTGTCCCCTGTGGCTCAGTTTCCTGATCTATTAAATGAGACTGATGGTAGCATCTAACTCAGAAAGAAGGTTGTCGGGAAAATTAATTTGTATGGTAGCATATAAAGGACCTAATGCCTGGCTCATGATTTCAGCTACTATAATATTATACTAGGGTCACCAATTTTCTTCGTGGTACTCCACAGTATAAATAAAACTCTTTCAATATATTAGTCGGGAAATTATTGGATGCATATGTGCTTCTGTCAATCGTCTTAAAACAGGCGTTACACTTTGTAAATATTTGATAAGCCTTCATTTTAAAAGTCACTCAATGGATAAGAACACAAGCTCTGAAGTTAAGAAATTATAAGTTCAAACCCCGACTCCATCATATACTCCTTGTATGACCTGAGAGTTTCTTTAACATATCCAAGGTCACATCACAACCAAAATCAAACCTACCTACTTCACAGGATTGTTGGAACAAATAAGTGTGTGTGTGTGTGTGTGTGTGTGTGTGTGTGTGTGTGTGTGCGCGTGCATGTGATATGCATATTTGGGGCACATAGTAAGGACACAATAAAAAATAGTTATCTCTTTTCTTAATTATATAAAGCGAGGCAAATCTATGAAGTGGATGGGTTTGCTGCTGAGTGTTGGGATTACAGGTATAAGTCACCACACTAAGCTCAGAGCAGAAATTTTTGTAATGCCTTACACTGAGTCCCTAAGACATGAGCTCTAAGTCCCTTTCCAACCCTCAGTTTCTCTTTCTCATCTCATTCTCTAGTAACACAAAGCTCGTTTGCAATTCACACTGGATCCAAACACACCCACTATTCTCACTCATAGGTCTCTCTCCACTAGGCCCCGATTTTCAATGATTCTACTCACAAATTCTCTGTTTTATGATGGTGAAAAAAATCAATGTATATTCTCTACTTCAAACTTGGGATTTGAATGATGGGCAGCTCCCAGTAAGCCACAAGACTAGGAAGGTCATATGGACTACTGCTTGCTAAGCTATGTTGCTCAGTGGACTGAGTGTAGCAACTCCCCCCCCCCTTTTTTTTATTTAGGATATTTTCAATTCAGGATGGATTCACTGGAGTATATATTTACTATAATTCAACCAAGGAACATGTGTACATTGCCCATTCACCCGAAAGTAAGCTCTCCTCCACCTTCTCCAGGACATACAGTTGCCTTTCCCCGAAGCACCAAGCACCTATCATTTACCTCTTGTAGTAGTAGGCTTTGGTTTTCTTTTCTTTCTTTTTTTAAGGTGCTGGTGATTGGACCTAAAGCCTTATACACGTTACACAAATACTACTCAACTGAGCTATATCCTCAACCCTTAACACATGTTTGTGCCTACATATGAGAGAGAGAGACCAAGTTGTCCATGCTGGCCTTGAACTTGTAATCCTGCCTTAGCCTCCACAAAAACCAGTGTTTCAGGCCAGTACCACCAGACTCAGCTAGACTTGTAGTATTCTGTCTGTCTGTAAATCTGGTTTTTCAGCTGAACCAGGAATTTGTGTGGGGAGCTTTCACGTGATCTTATTTACCTCTGAATTTTTATTAATGCTGTACCTGGCGCAGGACAAACACACAGTAAAAGGCTGTTGAATGACTCCATCCAAGAAGTAGGTATTTCTTCTACTCCCTTTTTTGCTTCACCCAAAAGGACCACCACCTTTGTGGGCTAGTACCCTAGATGCCTGCTCTCTGAATATATGCAAGAACATTTGTTTGGAATCTCTCAACCCGACTGTATGTCAGTAAAGCAAGACTTCAGACAGGAGAGTCAAGAGGGCCCTGTCCCATCAGCCTTCCCTCACAGAGGTATGCAGTCTGTCAACACAAGCTGGACTTGCTCGCTGAAGTTGCCCGCACACAAATGCTGGCGCTCTGAACTCTATCTCTGTACTATCTAGATTGGTCTGTATCTCAACTCTATTTACTCTTGATCAGCCTTGATATGGTTTGCAAAGCTGTACTGAATTATTAACAATACTCCTTGAGAACAAGGACTACAACAGGGAAATGTCAAGGGGACAAAAATCTTGAATTTAACGGTGCCAAATGCTGAGAAGGAAATAGTTCCACCAGGGCCTCATCCCAAGGTTATACGCAAAGATAAGAGGGTTCAGGCAAACACAGAAGCAAAAGGCCTAGCTGTTCCCAGAACGCAGATAAACATTTGTGGAACTAATATATTTTATTATAACATTTAACATAAAATAATTATAAACAAGAAGGAAAATAATAAACACTGTAATTAAAAAACAATTCAGTAGACTATAAGTCTACACAATGCAGATGAAATTTTATATTCTACCACCTCCTCTGGCCTTTATCCAAGAACATTTAAAAAAAGAGAGAGAGAAGAAAGAAGGAAATGCAGTAAAATGACGTGACAGGCTTTTAAGTGAAAACAAAACAGCCGTTTCTTAGTCTATGAGGATGCAGGGCTATACTCTCAGTTAAACTGCTCTCTGGGAGAGCCACCACGGCCTCTTTCATCCTGGGCCTCACGATTCTCTCCGGAACCAGAAATACAAGAAGGTTTGGGTTTTCTTGTCACTACAGCACCGAGTACTGCCTTCCCCAATTCCTCACACTTTGGACCCCATGGAAGAGCCAGGAGTACTGGGGAACAGGAATTGGTTGACTCCTAATTGATAACAGGTCTAGCTTGAGGCTTGGTTTTATATGGGGTGGGTTGGGGGGATTGTTGTTGTTTGATTTGGTTTGGTTTGGCTTTTGTTGTTGTTGTTGTTTGATTTGGCTTGGTTTGGTTTTTTTTGTTTGTTCGTTTGTTTTTGACAGTCTCACTGTTTAGTTCAGGCAGGCCTGGAAGAAACGAGCCTCCTGCTTCTGCTTCGCGAGTAGTCGGGAATGTATTTAAGTCAAGTCTAGCAGGGTTCAGGCAACTGGAACTTCACTCTTACTGAAACAGAGAGCCTCAGCTTGGCGTCCCAATGGACTCTTCCACCAGGAGGCACCTGTAGTGTCTCCTCACAGCGCTGAACCTCGGGCACCGAGAGAACATAGTTCAGGTTTTGGGCAGAAGATGGCAGTATATACTGCTCGATTTCAAATGCCTGGGGTTAATGAATGAAGAGAATGAAGGGGGCGGGGGTGGGGGTGCGTTGTAAGGGAGTTGGACTGAATAGAAATTTGAGTTTTATACAAAAACTGAATAATGTGGACTTTTTAAAAAAAAATTCCCAAGAATCAATAATTGCTCAGTCTTTCACAATCAACATATTCTAAGTTCCCAGACACTCTGAAAGGCGTCCTGCATGATCAGCTTGCGCGTCCCTGAAGCTCACGTCGACAGCAGGGGCTTGAACCCAGGGCACCAGAGTGACCCCTATATGTGCCCTCTTGCTATACCTCCGCTCGAGGTTTATTCTCCCAGATCCCTCCGCCGCCATTACGGGACGCATCACTCCTCTCTGACTGTGCGTGCAGGCGGCTGTGCAGAAGTCTCTGCAAGAGCAAAGGCGACAGATCACCTGAAGCAGCAGGTAGGGGGGCTCGGAAAAGCGGGAGAACAAGTTTGGGGGGTTAAAAAAAACAGGAAAGATGAGTGAGGAGAAAGAGGGAGTGCTGACATGGGGGGCGAAGAGTGGGGAGACGAGGAAATAAAATGAAGGAAATAAGAGGGGAGGGGGTCGAAGCAGGATCAGAGAAAAAGAGAGGGGCAGCCAGAAATAAGAGGGGCGAAAGGAAATACGAGAAAGGGGAAGGGAAAACGGGGAGAGAAATGGAAGAAACGGGTAAAGAAACTTGGGGAGACGTTAAATGACAGACATAGCGGAAAGAGCGGGAGAAGAAACGGGCGAGTTGAGCGGCGGCGGCAGTGAGGGAGCAGGGGAGGCCCCGGGGAAGCCCGTGGCCGCCGCGACAGCGGGACCTAGGGGAGATGGCGTCGAGTGGGGCGCGGGCGGCGGGACGGAGCACCGGAGGGGGTGCCGAGTGAGGTGAGACGGGCACCGAGAGTCCGGGCGTGTTTTTAACGAGTTTGGAGTCGGGGCATTCGCTTAGGTACTCGTGCTGTTTTTCTGGAACTTTCCGGAGTCGCTCGCCAAGGAGGCCGGGGCTCTTAGCTCTCCCTCAGCACTTCTCCTCAGCCGGGCAGAGCGGCGCGGCGGCGGCCGTTTAAAGGCCCTGTCACCTCAGGCCTTGAGCGCCTCTGGCCGTCCTGTCGGGGGAGCCCCGGGCAGCAGCGGGACGGGCACCATTGGCCCTCCCGGCGAGCGGGAGACCTGTGCGGCCGGGGCGGCTCGCTCCCCCCACCCCCCTTCTCTCCCTCTCTCGCGGGGGAGAGCGGCGCGCGCGCGCTCCTGGAGGTCTGGACGTTTAAGGCGCTGAGCGCCGAACCACCCAGCGCCAAGCGGCTGAGGCGGGCTCCTCCACAGGAGCGCGGGCGGGCGACGGTGTGAGCGACCGCGTGGGCGTTAAGGGGACTGGGGATGGGGGGCGCCTCGGCGCGTCGTGGGGGAGGGGGTCGGCCCCCTCAAGGCGACGGCGGCGGCCGACCGTTCTCCGCCTGCCCCTCGGGGCTCATTTACGTGCTGTCACGGCCCGGTGCAGACGCCCAGGCTCTGGCGGCTCTCTCGCCCACTCGCTCTGGGCTCCTGCCGCCGCCGCCGCTCGGTCAGCGAAGCCCGCGAGCCTGAGGCCGGAGGCTGGGAGGGCGCGCCGCGGCTCACCCGTTCTGCCCGCCCTTCCTGCCCGCGGCAGGTCCGCCTGGAGCCATGCTCGCACTTGGGAAACTTAGGACTGCGCCGGGGGGCCCGCCTGTGGCACCTCCGGGGCAGGAGGGTAGAGGTGGCGGCGGGGGGGCGGGGTAGGGGGGTAAGAGCGGGGGGGGGGGGGCGGCCCTGGCTTCCAGACCAAGGGGGAGGAGGAGGAGGAGGAAGTGAGCCCAAGGGATCCGCTGAGGAGCTGTTTGTCCAGCTGTTTCTCTTCGCACCCTGAGCGCTCCAGCCAGAAGGGGGCCCGCGCCGAAGGTGGCCCGGCTTTTTTTAGGCGCTAATTTCCAACTCTCCTCGCAGCTTGTCATTCCCAGGCACCCTGGAGTCCGAAAAGGCCAGCTCGGCGGGCGCGCACCTGCCAGCCGCCCCTGACCTCGCCGCCGCCGAGCAGGCAACCCCCAAGCCTGAGAAGAAGATGGCCCAGTCCAAGCTCGACTGCCGCTCACCTGTCGGTCTCGACTGCTGCAACTGCTGCCTGGACCTGGCCAACCGGAGCGATGCCCAGAGCGGCAGCCCCGGGGACAAGAACCCGGGCAGCCCCACCGTGAGCAACTTTCGGCAGCTGCAGGAGAAGCTGATCTTCGAGAACCTCAACGCCGACAAGCTCGACAGCATAATGCGGCAGGATTCCCTGGAGCCGGTGCTGCGGGACCCCTGCTACCTGATTAACGAGGGCATCTGCAACCGCAACATCGACCAGACCATGCTCTCCATTCTGCTCTTCTTCCACAGGTGGGTAGCCGGCCCGAACGCCTGGGAACACGATCCTGCTGACACCGGCCTAGGCTGGATCTTGGCCTCTGACCAGGGGGCCAACCAGGAAGTTCCCGAGGGGCACTGGGTGGGTTGGGGGAGCGGCAGACTCGTAGGCGACCATAGCTGATCCTTTTGGCTAGCTTAGAGCCCCGCGGAGTTCAGGGAATTTTAGCAGGTGCGAGTGCATTTTGAACGGTGCCTGGAAAGGCTCGCAGATTCTAGGGCCCGGAAGATGGGGTGACACCATATGGGTTGGAAGTAGTTGTAGATGCCCCCTCTTGGAATTTCTGCAGTCCTTCAGACAATTCTGCCTTGAAGTTCTCTTGGAATTTGAGTTCCACCCTACTCAATGGAACTGAAACTGGGCGGCATTGACAATGACGACAAGCGGAACACCATGAACAAATTAGGCTTCTGATGGGGGAAGACCAGGATGAGGGATGGGAAAAATAGAAACCCGTGAGAACTTTTGAGATTCGGGATGGAGAGTACTGGCCCACTCCGTAGGTTATAGCCTTCCATTTTGAATGCAAGTGAAAAGCAATCCCAGAAAAAGTGGTTTAGGATTATTACTTTAAGAACTTCAAGGCACCTGTATGGCAGGAGGATGGATGAATCCACATCCATGTAGACGTGTTGTCTGAGTGTGTATCAGATTTTCTAGAAAGCCTGAAGGAAAGAATGGGAGAAGGGAAGAGATAAACACAATGGGAATGCCCAGGGCATCTGCTATCCCCAACAACGAGATACTTTGGTATTAATAACTTAAGACTCAGATAATTTAGAGGTGGGAACTTCAGGAAACCCTTCTATAGGTGTAGTGTTCTTAGAGATATTGTGTGTATATGTGTGTTTATGTGTGCGTGCATGCACACGTGCATTGTGTGCATGTGTGTCCGTGCACACTGGGGTGGATTTTATTGTTGCTCAATGACACAGGTTATGTAAGAGTGACATTCCCTGCTGGGGGAGACCTAGGTGGTAGTACAAGTTATGCTTCTATCTTTTTGTATGACCCTGAGCAAGTTCTCTTACCTTCCTGCTCTCTGTATGGCACTTTCTATCTTTGGGCAAATGGTGTGCCCAGAGTGATGAAATGCCCAAAGAAATGCTGAATACTCATGCATTACTTGCATGGCAGTAAAACTCAAATGGGATATCTTAAAAGCTACCAAGAAATGCAGGAGGCACTCCTGTCGACCGCTAAGAATGTGTTTACCTCCTTTGTCCCAATACACATCCACTCTAGCCACAGTGATTCCTGGTGGGGGATAAGCAAGGCTGCTTGTCTTAATGTTGTTATATCAAGTTGTTTCTCTGAGGCGTTTTCAATAGTTTTCTTACTTATTTCACATTAGGCATCACATTATTTCATGGTCTAAAATAAAGCCAAGCTATAGACAGAATAGATTTCAAGAGAATCTTCATTTCTCATGAAATACTACTACAAGTGTATTTAGCCCACAGACACTGAAATCCTGTAGAGCACAATGCTTAACTGGCTCGTCATGGTGGTAATGATCTGCTTGCTGGCATAGCTCAGTTAGAGAGTTGGGGAGAAACCTGGAGACAGCACTTGCATTTGCTTTGACTGGCAAAGCAAGGGCTCTTCTAGGTCTTTGGTGAAGTGAGAGGGTGATTTCTGTTTAGAAAAAAAAAAAAAGAGGCCTTAGGAGGGTCTGACCTGGGTAAATGAAGTGTGAGGCTGACATTTGCAGAGATTTGCTGAGATTTGCAGAGTTTTTGTGTCACACCTCTGTAGTGTCCCGATTCCCTGGGTTTCTTGAAAGACCTCCTTTGTCACCCACTAACAACAGTTTTTGGTACTTAGTTCTTGGCAAAACCTGAAAATGCTACTGAAGAGGAATATTAAAGGCACTGTATAAGAGAAAAGAACAAAGTAGGGGATATGCACCTGACCACAATGCCTTCTGGCACCAGAGCAACTCAGTCAGTGTTCTATGCTGCTATCTCAGAAAAAGCCAGAAGGCTACCAGGCTTTTTTGAAGCTCAGTAGTAAGTGACAGAATCCTTTGGTAAGAACCTAATAATTATGACAGGATAAATCACTCTCTTTCCTTAATGACTGGTATTGGAGATCCAGATCCTAGATTCAGTCAAGGCTTTGCACAGAATGACATGTTCTTTGCAAACTAGAAGAACATTGTTGCTGGTTATGGGTCTTCTCCAATGTCTAGGCTGAACAGTCTTCTATATGAATATTTCCTTTCTTGATTCATTTGATTCCCTGGGTTTCTACCTGTATAATCCAGCCACAAGTTTTACTCCTGTTCCAGTTCACAATAAGACATTTCAGATCTCTGTGTGAGTGTGTTTTCCACTATCATTTTTCAAGGCAACAATTCCTACCGGAGATTCTGCCTCTTACCTTGTAGCCTATTCTGCTATTTCAAGGCCTCCAACATTCTCTGGAAGAAGACTTGGCACATTCTTGATTTATATCTGGTTCATTGGTATTGGTCTGTCCTAGTTCCCAGTTTAGGACTGGATTTTCTTGGAACAAAGAGTGTAAGCAATTTGAGGGTAGGACTGCGTTTTACTTGCTTGGTTTCTCCTTGGTTTCACCTTATGTAGCCAGTATTCATTAAAGGTGTTCTTGTTTTGTTCTGGTGATTATGAATAACTACTTAATTGTTGGTGTACTCTGAGGTAAAGATTTCACAACTTTAACCTTTTTTTTGTAATTGTTAGATACAATTTATTTATTTATTTATTTTAACTTTAACCTTTTTAAAAGCAGGTTTTTAAAATTTTTATTGATGATGTGTTTGTGTGTGTGTGCAGGTACCCATGGAAGCCAAAAGAGAGTATCAGAACCCCTGAAGCTGGAGTTACAGGTGGTTGTGAACTACCTGATGTGGGTGTTAGGAACCAAACTCATTTCCTCTGCAAGAGCACCAAGCACTTTTAACCACTGAACCATCTCTCCAGCCCCAAAACTAATCTTGTGCTAGAAAATCCTTATTAGTGTTTAAATGTGGATTTTTCTTTTTTAGTTTTAATCACATGTGGTAGCTAATAGTTTGGTATTTTAAACACCACCCCTTAAATCTTTTGTAATGTAATTAATAACTAGAGAGGATTAATAGCTAACAATTATTGTTCATTTATAATACATACCAAGAATAGTATCTGCATAATCTCATTTAGTATTTATGCCAACCCAACAAAACTGATATTATTAACACCGATTTTCACTTTTATAAGAAGGAAACTGATGCTTGGAAATTTTAAGTTGCCCTGTCTCACAGTGAAGAGCAATACCAAAACTCCAACTGATATCATGGATTATGGAGTCTACTGAATGTCTAAAAAACATAACTAGCTAACTAACACTAAAGAGGTGCTTACAACACAAATTGTTTCTATGAAGCAAAGAAAAAATGTTATTCCAGAAATTTTCTAAGTGATCAAAATGTCCAACTATTCTACTCCTACATGGGACACAGGACTCTGATGATCAAACTTGGACAGCCTCAGGGAAAGTGTGATGGTTGGTCACTATTATTAGACTTCATTTTATCATTTGTCTATGCTTCTGAATACTAGAAAGTTTAGGATAAAAACAGTGTACACTGGACAACTAGCTGAATTTTCCAGTTTATATGCAGTATTTAAAACAAACAGACAGACAGACATAAACCTTCTTAAATGAAAATTTTGAATGAATTTAATTACCAAGCTTGCAAGGTGTAGCTAACTGACATGGTAACTGGGAATATTCTTTTTTGTTTTTGTTTTTTTTTTTTTTTGAGACAGGGTTTCTCTGTGGCTTTGGAGCCTGTCCTGGAACTAGCTCTGTAGACCAGAGATCCGCCTGCCTCAGCCTCCCGAGTGCTGGGATTAAAGGCGTGCGCCACCGCCGCCCAGCAACTGGGAATATTCTGCTCTATGGTTGCTGTTTTTATAACCACAGATTTATTTCTAATTTTTTTGGGGGGTTTTTCAAGACAGGGTTTCTCTGTAGCTTTGGTGCCTGTCCCAGAACTAGCTCTTGTAGAGCAGGCTGGCCTCGAACTCCCAGAGATCCGCCTGCCTCTGCCTCCCGAGTGCTGGGATTAAAGGCATGTGCCACCACCGCCCGGCTAAGATTTTTTTTTTTGACATAGAGTCTCACACTACAGCCCAAGATGGCTTGGAACTCAATGATCTTGGCTGTCCTGGAACTCAGCATAGCCCAGGTTTGTCTTGAACTCAATACAATCCTTCTGACTCTGCCTCTCAAGTGCTGGGATTATAGGTATGAGCCACCACACCCATCCAAAATCAACCATATATTGCCCTTGGTCCCAGAGCATACCTGCTCAATGTCATCCCAAATACCTAAATCTTAATTCCCTTCAGCTCCAAAATTTTTAGGATTCTATCTAAATAATATATATAATATAGGATATCTTATATTCTATAAGCTGACCTGCTACCAACGGGTTCTAATACACAAATCTTAGGAAATAATATTAAATATTTCTGATTGCTTGATGTATGCTAATTCATCTAATATTCTTTGTTGAGCTGTTTGTTAGGTACTAGCATGGAGGAAGAGTTAGATATAGACATCAGGTTTTTTTTTTCAAAAAATATTTCATACTATTTAAGATTCAAGTCTGTCTTTGAATCTGAACCATCTGTAACTCCTCTCCTATAGCATCAGTGATATGTAGATCACACCGTGAGAAACCCTGAACTAGAGATTGCAACCCTTTGTCAATTAATTTACCATTTGATTTCAAGGACGGGATTCTTTGTCATAGAGAGGTTTTGAGTTTCTATGTGGTTAAGCCTGTCATTCTTTGCTTTTGTGATTTTTGCTTTTGGTATCAGGCATCAAAAGTCCTTCCTTGGCCTAAAGTAATTTAACATAACTATTTCCCAAGTGTCTAGTAGTCTGACACAAAATAGGCACTCTAGGATTAAGGGACATCCTCCATTAAAAACACAAATGCATTTGCAAACTT